TCATGTTAATGAGCTATTTCCCAGTTGCTAATAGAAACCTTCCTCACTGACACCTTATGAGTCAAACTTCTATTTCCCATATTACTCTCACCACTTCAGTCTTCCAGGCTCTTAGAAGAGCAGCACTTTAAGCTTTTATAGTATTTAACTTTTAATTTAGTTCAAAGTTTCAAAGTTTTCCACGTGCCTCCAAAAAGTTTCTTCACGGCAACAGTGCTATGCCTCCTGTTACCATGTGTTAACTAGTGTTAGCTAGTTTTCTGTTGCTATGATAAGTAAGAAACAACTTTTGGCAGAAAGTTTATTTTAGCTTATGGTCCTGTAGGATTAGAGTCCAGAAAGACTGGAGTGCCATAGCAGTAGGTGATGGATAGAATAGAGAAGACAGAAAAAGAAGAGAGAGGACAATCACATTTTGTTGACACAACAGCAAACAGATAGTAAGTAGGAAGGAGGGAGAGGATATGTACTCTCAATCAGTTTCTCCTCTCTCCCTCCTCTCTTCCCAGTTCCTCCCCACATCCTCCCCCCCCGCATTTTAAAGACTTTTTACTGTCCAGAGATTGTTACTTTTTTCTTAAAGTGCAATTTATAACACCACAGGCTTTTAAATAATTAAATAAATAACAACTAGGCGCGGTTTATAACCAGATATCCATTTTTCTATCTATATCAAATCTCCATTTTAAAGCAACAGACTCTGTCACTGTGATAATTACTCTTGGCTGTCAACTTAACTACAACTGGAATTAACTAAAAGCCAAAAATGGAAGGCATATCTGTGAGGAAATTCTGCTTATTTAAAGTTGGAAGGTCTACTTCTATTCTGAATCTTTGAGGCAGAAAGACACACCTTTAATCTGGATATTTAATGCAGATTTAATCTAGGCCATGTCTTCTACTGGAAGCCTGTGATAGACTATGGGGACTTTTAAAGTGGGACTAAATGTATTTTACATTAGGATGTGGCTACAAGCCTATGGGGGTAGGGAGTGGAATGTGGTGCTTTGAATAAAAATGGCCCCAAATAGGCTCATATATTTGAATGCTTGGTCACTAGGGAGTGGTACTACTTAAAGGGTTAGCCCTTGTAGCCTTGTCGGAGTAGATGTGGCATGTTGGAGGAAGGGGTCACTGTGGGTGAGTTTTGGAGTTTCAGAAGCCCAAGCCAGGTCCAGTGGCTCTCTCTTTCTGCTGCTTGGGGGTTCAGAACTCTCAGCTTCTTCTCCAGCATCATGTTTGCCTTGATGCTACTTGCCATGAGAGTGACTAAAAGGATTGCCTTGTTCATGGTGTCTCGTCACAGAAATAGAACACTGACCAAGACAGTCACATCAGTTTTTGAAATATTTATGTGTATGAGTAGTAACCCTCATGTTCATATGTGTACTACATGAGTACCTGATGTTTCTAGAGACTAGAAGCCATCCATTCACTGGAACTGGAATTACAGATGGCTGTGAAGCACCAAGTGGGTACTGGGAATCAAACCTGGATCCTCTGGAAGCACAAGTGCTCCTAACCTCTCCAACCTGTATTTTAATTTTTTAAAAAAAAATATTTATTTACTATGTATACAATATTCTGTCAACATGTATGCCTGCAGGCCAGAAGAGGGCGCCAGACCTCATTACAGATGGTTGTGATCCACCATGTGTTGCTGGGAATTGAACTCAGGACCTTTAGAAGAGCAGGCAATGCTCTTAACCGCTGAGCCATCTCTCCAGCCCCCATGTATTTTAAATTTTTATATTAAGTGTACAAAATAGTGAGCATCATTATGACATTTCCATACAAATAATGTCTATTGATCATATTCCCCATCTGCCTCCATTACTTTTTTATCCCTCCTCTCATTTTACTCAATCTGGGACTCGAGAGAATGAGGGAATTTTTGTTCGTAATTTTACTAGAACAATGTTCACAAACTGAGAGCTGTCCCAGGAAAACCTAGATGCAAGTTTGCAAACTTCTTGAGACAAGGCAGCAGGAGTGTGGCACCTCTTCATTCATAAGAACAGTATTTGACAATGTGTTAAGCTCCAGGGTTAGAAAGACCAATAAAAAATGGATCTTTAGCCAAAGAACTAAACAACATAGTTTTAAAAGTGACTAGGAAGAGTACTAGAAGGTAATGAAACTTCATACTTCAGAGGTGACATACACATCAGTGGTTATTACAGCATTAAACCTTAATCAAAGTAGCTAAGATAGAGAGAAGGCCCAGATGGCCATCAGCAAACAGAAAAGAAAGGTGTGGTAAACCGATATGCACAACAGTTTGATTAGTAGTAAAATGAATGTAATTGTGCCATTTGTATGGGAATGGAAATAACATATTAAGTGAAATAAACCAGCTTTAAAAGGACAAATATGACTCAGAAAGACAAATATCATATTACCACTCATATGTAGAATCTACACTTAAACATATGTAGAATCTACACTTAAACTTAACAGTAGAATGACTGTTCTCTTGGATGACATTCTGTTGAATGAGTAAGGCGTCTAATAGTGGATGAGGAGGTAACGAGATAGGGTAATAGAAACAAGAAAAGACGGACAAATATTGTCCATTCTCTCTTATATATGAAATCTAAATTTAAATATGTGTATAGCCCAATGTGGTGGTACATAACTATGACCCTAGCACTTCAGAGGTGGAGGTGTGGGGGGGGGGATCTGAAGCTCAAGGTCATCCTCAGCTATCAAGTTCTAGACCAGCCTGGACTATATGATATCCTGTATCTCAATAAAAAAAACAGTATATATAAATAGCATGAAAACAGGAAGAGTATTAGGGGGAGGAAGGGAACCAGAGTAGGTCGATAGAGGACAAAATAAGATAAAGGAGGGGTGAATATGAACACATATACACACTTTGTGTGTGTTACAATTATATGTATATAAAATTTATACATATATGCAAGATAAAATTATATATATAAAGTATTGCCAGGTGGTGGTGAGCGCCTGCCTTTAATCCCAGCACTCGGGAGGCAGAGGCAGGTGGATCTCTGTGAGTTCGAGGCCAGCCTGGTCTACAAGAGCTAGTTCCAGGACAGGCTCCAAAAGCTACAGAGAAACCCTGTCTCCAAAAACCAAAAAGAAAGTATTATAAAATATTAAATTGTTTATTAGCTGAAAGTAATTAAACAATGAATATAGGTATAGAAATTTGTTTCAGGTTCTATTCTGAAACAAATAAAAATATGTGGCACATACTAATACAAGACGTAGGACAAATAATCAATAATTTTCTTTAAATGGCTTAATGGCTTTAAAGGTCTATACAAGCTTATTTTTACTGAGCTAGTGTTTTCTCTTTAAGTGAAAAAAGTTACAATGACTGTGATTTCAATAAGAGTTTCTGGTCTGTAAAGCATTTTCTGTGAGTTTAATCATGTGTGTCTTCTTGAACATGGTTGAAATTTTCACAGGATGTCAATGTAAAGAGAGCGAAATACCTGAGAGAAGAAAAAACAATATATAGTATACTATATATTGGAAAGTAATATATACTATACTATCTAAGAGCAACAAAAACTTAATAATATATACCCAAAATAAATATGAAGTCCTATAAATGGTTGTTTTTAAGTGATTTTGGAGCTTTGCATAAGTGTTAGACAAAAGTGTCAGTACATTTTGTACACTAGATATTATTCTGAAGAGAACAAAATATAAATCAATCAATGCAAAACTTACAAAGAAAATGAGCTTGAAAGTTTGAATAACCCAGATGAACTGGAAAGCAAAATTAAAATTGGCATCTCTGTATTGGGTAATTCACTGAAGTCAAGTTTTTTTGAGATATGGTCACACAGTGTAGACCAGGCTTGCCTTGAACTCATGGAAATATTCCTGTATCAGATTCCAAGGACTGGAATTACAAACATGAGCCACCAAACTCAGCTAAAAGAAAAGTGTAAAGCCAAAAGTAGCAGTGTAGTCACTAGAGAAGTTTTTACACACTTCCTTAATAGCAGCTCAGAAAATTCATTTCTGTATTCATGTTTCCAGATAAGACTCTCAAAGTAAAGGAATAGCCATGACACTGTTAGGCCTGTTCGTAGCTTTTCTTCTTGTTTGTATAAATAGAATTAGCATGATCTGAAAGTCTCTGGTATATTGGTTTTACAGACAACCTTGTTTTAGTTTAGTGGGCACAGCTGGTGCCTGAAAAGAGTTCCCATGCTCACAGATCTACTAGCCTTGTTCCACTTTCCTCCAAAACACACAAAATGGAAAACTAGTTCAAGAAAAAGAAGCCTTACAGTTGAAAGAGAGCAATCTGGGGTACATGGAGAGAGAAAGGGTATGGGAAAAAAATCATGTAATTTAATCTCAAAAATAAAAATATGAAAATAAAAAAAATAGGTGCATATGGTTGTACATTCCTTTAATTCCATGACCGGGCAGGCAGAGGCTCCTGGACTTCAATGAGTTCAAGGCAATCCTGGTCTTTGTAACAAGCTTAAGGCTAGCCAAGCTACATGGTGAGAACCTTCTCAAAAATAAAAGTAAAATGTAAAAACAGGTCTGGATCAGATGTGGTGACTTACGTTTATAATTCCACCACTCCGAAGACTGAGTCAAGAGGATTCCTATGACTTCAAGGCCAGCCTGGGCTACAGTGACAGATCCTGTCCAAAAGGGAAACCTTGTGCACTGTGAAATCTGCTGTTTCCTTGGCGAATTTGCATTGAGAATTTACTGCATTCTATTGACTTTCCCAGGCACCTTCGTCACTCTTCTTATGTAAGCTTGTAATGTAAATGCAATTATCCTGGTAGATACCAGGGAATGTCTTCACCTTACACAGAAGAAAAACTCAAATTCCAAGAAGAGAAAAAATTAGAACTGAAAACTGTCAAGACAGGTGAAGTGTGTGCTAGAGAAGAGAGAAATAAAATTGTCTAATTCTCTTCTGTAATTATTTTTTTTAATGTTTATCAAATAAGTTAAGTTGTTTTTTTTTTCTTTTTTCTAATTTACAGGGTCTCCCTCTGTTGCCTATGGGGAGGGATATCTCTCCCAGGGCTCAAGGGAACCTCCTGTCATGGCCTCCTGAAATAATGGGACTTGAGGTATGCATCACTAAGCACAGCTCGTCTGCTCCTTTTGTTTACCAGTTACAATAAGTGAAAGAGGTGGCAAAGTATGTTCAGGCTTGTGCACACACACATACACGCACACATATACACTTTCCCACATCTAAAACATCACTTTGTAATTTTCCCTTGCATGATACGTTAGTTGTCTAAAAGCAGTTTTAATCTTTATTTGGATTCTCTAAAAGATGAGATTCCTGACATTTTGTAAAAAGTAATGATGAGTAGATTCTTCTCAGGAGTAGATTGCATCCATAAGAAGAAGGATCTGGAGGGGTTATCTAGAAATACTTTGCTAGCAAAAGGAAAGAAAAAGAAAGAGTCCTGTCTACAAACCACACACACACAGAGAGTCTGTAAGAATTCAATTTCTCTCAAATTTGTAAGAATAACTTTATCTGTGCTTTCAAGCGTTATATCTTTATTACCCCAATTGAAATTTTGTCTGTAATTATGAGAATTAATGATTCTCTATACCATTGTAAACAGAAAAGTCAAATGCTAAAGAATGCGCACTTTCTGAGGGAAAAACTGTGTGTTCTGTTTTTCCCAGAAGTTTATTATATATGATTATGCTATATGTGTTTGTTTGTAGAGACTGCCTAACATCTGAACATACAGAACCAGATAAACTCTTGCACCATTGCTACCCCAACATTTTACTCTAGAGGAATGCTCCTGTACATGGATTCCAAGCAGGTTAAAAAGAAAAATAGCTGATTAAATCTCTGAGGAGCCAGGGAACGGGATGACGGCCACAGCTGCAGCAGAGACATCGAAAATGGAGAAGAGTGCTTCCAAGGAAGAGAAGCAGCAGCCACGGCAGGAGGCCAGCACAGAGCGAGGCAATGCTGACCCTGAAGACTGGATGAGCTCTGAGAGTGACCCTGAACAGCTGGGCTTTAAGAGTGGCCACAACAGCTGCCAACTTGCAGATACTCCGCAGAAGAAGAAAGAGATGCCCTCTAAGCCACATCGCCAGCTCTGTCGGTCACCCTGCCTGGACCGGCCAAGCTTCTCCCAGAGCAGCATATTACAGGATGGGAAGCTAGACCTGGAGAAGGAATACCAAGCCAAGATGGACTTTGCTCTAAAGCTGGGCTATGCAGAAGAACAGATTCAATCAGTGCTTAATAAACTAGGCCCAGAATCACTTATTAATGATGTATTGGCAGAGCTTGTCAGACTTGGAAACAAAGGTGACTCAGAAGGGCAAGTCAACGTGAGTCTCGTGTTGCCCCGAGGGGCTAGCTCCAGAGAGATCGCAAGCCCCGAATTGTCTCTGGAAGATGAAATAGACAATAGTGATAACTTGAGACCAATTGTTATTGATGGAAGTAATGTGGCAATGAGGTAAGCCTGGTGTATTTTTTTCATCTCCCTTTAAAATGGAAATTGTCTTGCATTGCAGAGCACTATGAGAAGGTCTTACTTGTCTGTGTCTTGCATTCCTATAGGTGGACAGAGTCTAGAATTACCATTCCCTTGCTTTTCCTTCTCCTCTGGAATTGCTACCAATTCTCCTGCAAATATTTTTGACAAAACATTAGATATTAGTGATGCTTGAACAGAGACAAAATATTTAGTGCCTATGTCCTGTCCTTTCTAGATTAGTCATTCTCAAAACTGCTGCTTATGCATTGCCAGTTGAAGGCTTACGTTGGAACTTCCCATAATTCCCAATCATGAATACACAATGCTGGGATCTTTCTACCTTCAAGGCAAATGTGTGATGTGGACTTTTCTCCAACTTGACTGCACCCTCCCCCCCTTTATCCTTCCCTCCCTCTCTCTTTCCCCCGTTTCCTTTTTCTCTCTTTGGTTTTTTGAGATGGTTTTCTTTGTGTAGCTTTGGAGCCTGTCTTGGAACTTGTTCTGTAGACTAGGCTGGCCTCAAACTCATGCCTCCTGAGTGCTGGGATTGAAGGCATGCACCACCACCACCACTCAGCTATTTTGGACTCTTTAAAGGTCTTATAAATTATTCTGGTTTCTATACCTACTACCTGTATTCATGTCATTTCCCAGCGTAGAAACAACATGCTCCTTTATTGTCACACCCTTAAAATGCAACGTGTGTTTTTGTCTAAACTTGGTGATTGTGGTAGGATAAATACTTGCCTGCTAAAGATATCCATATGATAATCTCCGAAGCCTGTAAGTCTGTTAAGTATTAAAATAGACATTATATGTGTATTTAACTTGAGTTTGAGCTGGAGAAAGTTACCTTGTATGATTAAGGTTGGCCAAGAGTTGTCACTAGAGGCAGACAACAGGATCAGAATAAGTAGTAAGACGTGCTACAGACACAATAAGTGAAAGTAAGAAGGAACTGTGACGTCAGGAATGAGGGTAGACTCTAAAAGCTGGAAAGTATAAGGAAACACCTGAGGCCTGAAGAAAGAAAGCAGCCTTACCAAAGCTTCGGTTTTAGATTTCTGGTCTCTTCAACTTTCAAGGAGTAATTACTATACATGTAGCAATTTGTTATAGAGCGACTAGGAAACGAATACACTGACTCCCAGTGAGACTGAACTAGTGTGATCACTGTGACAGTCAGTGTGCCTGTTCCTCACAAACCTAAAACTAGAACTACCATCACAACCAAGTGGACCCGTCCTGGATAGATAACCAGATAACCGAAGGATCCAAGAATGCCATAGAGATAGCTTTGCAGCTGTGCTCATGGCCACATTCCTCAGAAGAGCCAAGATAAGAACCAGTCTAACTGTCCACAGACCAATTCATAGATAAGGAAATTGTGACGTCTACAAAAAAGAGTTTTTCTTGATTTTGTTGTTATTGTTTGTTTGTGTTTTGGAGACTGGGTTCTCTGTCTGTCCTGTCTGTCCTGGAATTCACTCTGTAGACCAGACTGGCCTTGAACAGAGTTCCAGTTGCCTCTGCCTCCAAGTGCTGGGATAAAAGGCATGCACCACCATGCCCAGCTCAGAATAGAGTTCAGTTTGAAGGAAAATTGAGTGAGATTATCATTTTAAGTAAAATAACTGAACTCAGATTCAGAAAGAAGAAAAACTGGATTTTTCTTCTTTGTAGAGAATAAAAATGCATAGCTCTTATGTATGACACATAATAGGAAAGGAGTATGATGGAGGAGGAACGGTTCTAAACTGAAGAGAGGGGAGAAAAGAGTCTACTGAAATGAAAAAAAAAAGAGATTATCACATATTTTTTCTTATATGCATAACCTAGGCTTACATACATACATATATGTGTGTGTTATGTTCTCCCTCTCCCCCTCCCCCTCCCCCTCCCCCTCTCCCTCTTTCTGTGGTCACACCACAGCAAATGAAGATGCTAATGGGAGGAAGAAAATCATTGAAAGGCAAGAAGAGGGAGAATTTACTAGTAATTTTTCTCATTTATATGGCAAGAGCTGACACAAAAGGATGAATGTTGCTGTTCAGACACTGCTCTTTTATTCCGTCAAGGACGGCGGTTCATTTAGAGTGGCTCTTCACCAGTTAAGTCTTCCTGGAGACAGCCTCACAATCACAGGCAGAGATGTATTTTCAAGGAAACTCCAACTCCAGGCAAGTTGACACTCAAGATTAGTCTCCACGGCTCCACTGCTTGTCAACTTTATAGCCCAATACAGAACTTTAAACTATAACATTCTGGCTCATGACCCTTAAGTCTCAGTTTCAAATGCATTTAGTTCATCCCAACACTATTCTAAAGCATAAAGTCTTTTCTAAGACCCAAGAAAATCTCTAGATCTGAGCAGTGGTGGTGTAAGCCTTTAATCATAGCACTTGGGAGGCAAAGGCAGGTGGATCCCTAAGTTCAAAGCCAGCCTGGTCTACAAAGTGAGTTCCAAGACAGCTAGGGCTATACAGAGAAACCCTGTCTTGAAAAAGAAAAAAAGAAAGAAAAGGGAAAGAAAATCTCTTAACTGTGAATATCTATGAAAATAGAAAACAAGTTAGATCCTACCAACATACAAAGCTCCAGAATAAACATTCCCAGTCCAAAAGGGGAAAAAAAGATAATAACAAGGAAAGATCATATCAAAGCAAAAGTAAAACCTAGCAGGAGAAACAGCTTGATTAACCTTGATATCTCACAGGTTGTACTGATGATGGCTTCATCTGAGCTCCAATGAGCTTGAGAATCCCTACCCCTCCAGGACTGCTACCTGTAACACATATAGCTTCTCTTTAATGATGACTCCATTGGTCCCCTCACCTTTTCTCCGTAGATGTCGTTATAGTGCCAGTACCGCCAACATCCTGGAGTTTCCATTGCAACTTACAGTTTACCTTCCCTGTTTCATGCAATGAACTTTTAGGGTCACCTTGAAAGTAGATTAACCTTAACCGGTCTCAACACCTCTTAGGAATCTTGGTACAAGACTTGATGATTCCTAAGTCTTTCATTTCCAATGTCTGTAAAAGCATCAGCCTGGTGCTTCCCAGCTCATCTGGGATATCAAGATGTGGTCTAGCTTGGTTCCATCAATGCAGTATTAGCCTTTGCAGGCCTTTGTTGCTGAACCTCGGGAAACGCTTTCCTAGACAGTTATTTTTTTGAGCAGAGAAACCCTTCTGCTGCATTTTCAGTTCAGGTTCTCTCCTTACAAATGTTTTTACATTGTCACAATATGGAACCTTACACAGGGGAAGTATTGCTCTAAAACACCGTGCCTCCTCAAGAGAGTTTTCTCTTTAATGAGCCTAGTGTCGTTAACATTTACAGATGCTTTGTCTTCACCTTCTTTCTTCGCAGCATTAATCCTACTCTTTTCTTCACAATTTTCATACCTTTATGATCTTCATTTTCCTTTTTTAAAAGGTTTATTTGTATATTTATTTGTGTGTAAGTGTGTCCATGTATGCATGTGACTGCAGGAACCCATGGAGGCCAGAAGAGGGCATTGGACCACCTGGAGCTTAAGTTACACGTAGCTGTAAACCACCTGACTCTGGGGCTAGGAACTGAACTCCCAAAATTTTAATCATTACATTTAAATTCAGTCTATTATTCAGTGAATTATAGCAGAATGGGGCTCAAGAAATAGCTCAGTCATTAAGGGTCCTGGGTGCTCTTCTGGATGACCCAAGTTCACATTCTTCAATATTATTAATTTTTCCTTTTATTTAACATTGTTCTTTTTCCTTTTCCATGCCCACATTCCTTATTTTATTTTTTAAATTAAATTTCTCCTATTGAATGTGTAACTTTATAGCTTATTCTACATTATCATTGCCACTTTATTTTCTATTGTTATTTGGCTGGGCTAGATTTAAATTGTTTAAATTGTTTCTTTCCTTATGATTTAGTTTGGTGGTGTTGGTTGCACAGCAGTTTGGTTCTTTCTCTTTCAGTGTTGTGGTTGAGACCTCAAAATAAGGCTGATCAGTAAAATATCCCCAAAATAAATGAAGAAGGGACACTCACCTCAACAAATGCACAGATTAAAATTTTTGGTGGAGGAAATTTTGAAAGAGAGTATTATTTAGGCTGTAGCATAGTTGCTGCTTACTGCACTTACGCACATCTACAGTAAGATAAAGAAACAAGGAGAGGGGGCTGGAGAGATGGCTCAGAGGTTATTGTTTGCTGCTCTTGCAGAGGTCTGGAGTTGAGGGATTTAAGACCTACTCCACAAGTTGAAACCCATTTCTTGCATGTTATTGGGGTCTAGAACCTGAAGGACAGGTCATAGATCCTAAGGGATAAGGTACTTTTATTATTTTCCTAAATGAGCATAATATTAAACTGACTCCTAATGATTTATCATTATACCTATAGGCTAGTATGTAGGTCAAGCCTCATCAGAGAAGCTTTTTTAGTAGATGGTGATTAACATAGAGACACACAACTGATGAAGGTGCAGAGAATGAGAGACTGTGGAATGGTCAGACCTAAGTGAGATGTCTATATTACACCCACACACACATACACACCTAAGACTCAGAGAACATCGCAGAAAGAATGTAAAAAATATAGGTGGTGGATGTGTACAAGGAAATCATTTTCTGGACACCTCAGGGAATTTGAACATATGAATTCACAGCACTTGAGACAACATGCACAAGAACTATGCAAGTTAAAGCCTGACCAATGTCTAGCACGGAAAGGGGAGTTCACTCAGTCCCACTCCTAGATAAGCAGTCATTAGTGTAATGGAAAAATTAAAAATGCTGCAGGATCCCTGGCAGCTGTAGGCAGCAGAAATGCTGTAGGTCCCCAAGTGGTGGTAGCAGGCCATGTGGCGGGAGGCAGCAGGCCCTGAGAGCAGCCAGTGCCAGGCAGAGATGGCTTCTGGTCCCCGAGTGGTGGCTGGTCCCAGGGAGACACATGGTGGGCGGGCAAGAGATGGAGACATG